TCGAAGACTGAGCTCAGGCGGTGCTACCTCCTGGCTGGGGAGGTTGCACCGCCCAGTCTCGCTGGAAGGCTTAGCCCAGGCGGTGCCACCTCCTGGCCTGGGCGGTTGCACCTCTTGGTGCAATCAGGGTCCGAATGGTTAGCTCCATTCGGCCCAATTTCAATCTTTCAGGGGCCCAATTGCCCCAAGATTAAGCCAATGGGATCACCTCCCATTTTCCAACTTAATCAACGTGCTAACTACGATTAAATCTAAGACAATTTCTACAGCTTTGCTTCGGTGCGTCAATCGCTTCTTCCGGCAAGTTTCCGACGAACTTCCGTCGATCATCCGATGAATCCTCGGTGATGCTCCTGCGGACTTCCGGCAAACTCTTGGACTTTGCGACGATCCACTTGGCGAGTTCTGACGAGCTTCGCTTGGCAAGCTTCTGGACTTCTCGGATCTGTTCTCGCAGAACCTCGGACGACCGTCCGAACTTCCGTCGAACTCTCGAACTCCCAACGTGATCATGAACTTGACTCCGGCGCAACTCCTGCTGCTTGTCTAACTTTCATCGTAGTTAATCCTGCACACTTATCTCAACACATAGATTAGACAACAAATGACAATTGACTTCATCATCAAAATCCGAGATTCAACAATTATGAGCTCTACTTCGGTGAACAACATGATGACAAGAAGAGCTATGAATTCAAGGAGTGAAGGACATAGTATCGCAGAGGCAGGTCTTCCGTATGTGCATCGAATTTTGCATCGGATGAAAGCCTTGGTCATCAGCATATAGGCGTTGTGTACCACCAAGGGAAAAGTTCAAATGCAAGTACCAATGAGTCCCATGGGAGGGACTTGATCATGCAAAGGTATGATCAAAGCAACTGGAGAGTTGGACTGCTCTAGAGCCTATATTCGCTTAAGGGAGCCCAACAAGTCAGACGACAAGATCGAGTAAGCGAACGTTGCTACCAAAGAAGCTAAGGAGAACAGAATCGGTGCAAACCCTACCACATAATGGCAAAGGCCATGCATAAGAGTTACAGTCTATCTTTCCATCAACTAAAGGGAGCTATTTGGAGAACATAGAGGTGTTGAAGTAGGGGGTCGAAAGGGGTGATGAAACGACGATGAGTCTAGAGGGACTTAGCTACCAAAAACTAAGCATTAGTTGGAATGAAGGTTGACTCGAAGGAGTGTCATAGAGACATATCTACTGATCATGAAGAAAAGGGGATACAGATACGAGACGATGGATAGTAGGGTCATGGGTATGGTAACGCCATGGTACCGTAGAGGTGGGACTTATGTGAAGTCATCGATCCGTTGCTCTTATGGAGGGTGCTTGGTCATGAAAGAGGTCGAGGAGGTGGAGCATGCAGAGGCAAACTCCAAGTACCGAGACAAGGCTGAAGGGCAGAGGCCAAGGAACTTAGTAAGACTGGTCTCAACAAGGTTCTCATCAAGATAGCTGAGAGTGAAGGACTTCAGGTCGTGCAAGAGTGTATGACCAAGAAACGAAGCAGGTAGTACGCGGTGTTGTACCTTTGCTACTTAGTGGAGTAGGCGACAAGGTTAATGGAGAAGATGGTACAATCCTAGAGGCGATCAAATCTATTAGAAACTTACTTCATTGGGGTAAAAACTTCCTGCATTCCAGAAGTTCGATGGCATTGAGAAGGTGAATCACAGAAGCTAACTCAACGTAAGAAGTGTAAATACTTCGAGTGCTTCAGAAGTGTGAGCAAAAAGCAAGCGAAGTTCAGTAACCAGCTTGATGCATAGAGTACAACCCTCGAGGAGGTGGGCGAAGTCAAGTAACCTTTACCTTCTCAACTCATAAGAGAATGGGTGAAACCGAATACCTCAATTTTCTTCTAATAGAGAAGCTCTGCACAGGTTCAAAGACCATTCGAAGATAATGGAAGACAATAGTTGCCAAATCCTCACCAATGATGATTAGTGCTATTGAGAGTAGATTATCCACTTCATTTCCAAACAAAATATCAATCGAAAGTAGAAGTGATACGAATATACTTGGACGTGACAACTAAGTGAAAGAAGAGTCGATGGGTAAACTTCAAAAGTTTACGAGGCGATGCTCATTAAAGCTCCAACAAACATCCGCCCAATTCAAGCAGCATGAGGTATTTGAGAGATTGGTACATAGTAATGATGGTCTTTTCCTTCATTTGAAGGATCTGCAGGAACCAATAGGGATCAACACAACTCAGTTAATCCCACACTAGAGTCAAAGTTATTAGTGAGTTGAAGCAGCATGATGGATCAAAAGTTCGACTACTCAATAACAACAATGGAGAGTAGTTGGGAGCCAAGAGATGTATTGCGGCTAGAGCAGAACATCAAAGACTCAGCAAAGGCGAGGAGTTGCAATGTCGACAAAAGCTTCGTCGAAGACGTCGAAGGAATAAGTGGGGGAGAATGTCATAGACAGAATTCTAAACAGGATGTTTGATGTAATGCTTATGTATGTCCGTGTCTTTTGATTTTTTCATGCTTTGCACAGCATGTAGAGGGATGGTTAAAGGCTTAACAGCCCCATTTTAGTTGGGTTTGATAGTCGTTTTAGGCTTGTAAATAAAAGTTATGTTATGTAGATATTTATGAGAGATACTTAGTCTATAGTGGACCATTTTGACCCTTTATTGTGCAACCATTCAAAGCTTGTAAAGTCTGTTTGTAATTTACATTGCCTATGAAGGGTTTTCTGAAATGTTTGCTTGTAGATCCTAAGTGAGGCACTTTCTCTAGCTCGTTTTCTCTTTTGTAGGTCTTAAGAGACAATGTGAGGTTTCAGGGAGACTGACCTTTGCGAACGGACACGTAAGAGTGCCGCACGACTTAGGCAAAGCCAGCTAAATCCGTGAGAAAGCGACCACCATACCTCGTCACCCTCCTCCAATAGCACCTCCATCTACTCTCTTTACCAACACATGCACATCCTCTCATCCTCATCGACCACACACGTGCACTAGTACCCTACCTCCGCCATGTCGTCCCACCTTCAGGCGAACACGTCAAAGTGCTCCGTAGTCAATGAGAATTATGCTTGCATTGCTATGGGGAAGCCACCGAGAATGCAAAATGCATCTCATGTGAAGCCACATCACTTGTTGTGGTCCCATGCCATGTTAGGTAGGTGGACCCATATAATGGCCACCACGTCGTAGGCTAGCGTGGACCGCAGTGCGTTCTTTCTCTTGTTGCACCTGTACTATGAACACCATCCGGCACGCCTCCGACCTAGTGCATGCAAAGGAGGAGCGTCGTGGGTTGGGCATGGTAGCCCCATGGTACCAAACTCAGGACGCCACATCATAGACGTGGATGTCATCAACAAAAGCCCAAGAGTGGTAGCCCAATCCACCAACCACCACCAATTCCCTCCTGATAGCGGTTAGACGATAGTAGAGCGAGAGGCTACAAGAGCAACCAAGGATTGGTGGTAGTGAGATCTAGGTACCAGTGGTCGGCTTAAAGAACAAAGATGGGAAATTAAGGGGGAAGAGAGGGTTGTTGTTAGGGAGAGATAGACTTCTATTAGACGAGGTAGTGGAAGTCCGTTGGCCTCACTTGACCCGTTGTCACCCTCGTTTAGTCCCATCCACATGGTGTCCTGAGTTAGGCACCATGGAGTCCCCATATCCAATATGTGGCGCTCCTCTTTTGTGTGCACCAAGTTAAAGGAGCGCCAAATAGTGTTTATGGCTAGCAGGCACGACAAGAGAAAGTGCATTGCGTCCATGCTAGCCTACAATATGGCGTGGGGGCACGATGAGTGTTGTGGGTTCACACACTATATTATGCATCATCGATGGCTTCCTCATGATGGCATAAGCGTAGTTTTTGCGGATCGTAGAAGCCTTAGACATGATCGCCTAGAGGGTGAGGTAATGCGGAGAAGGGAAAACTATTGGAAGTGAGGTACTAATGCGAGTGTAGTCAGAAGGGATGAGAACATGTGCATGTGTCCATAGTGAGATTAGATGGAATTGTTATTGGAGGAGGGTGAAGGGGTATGGTGGTCGCTAACGAACCTACGTAGTAGTATGAATTTCATACTTGATCATTATATCATTGATAAAATTAATAATTCTGTAAGTGCTATTTCGTATTTATATATTTTGTTAGCAAATCCGATGACGATAAATAAGATTAAATATTTTATTTTTATATTAAAAATATAATATAAAAATTTTAAATCTAAAAAATCAGAATACTAAAAAAGTTTAATTACGAGGGGGGCTACTATATAAGGAGCCCCGTATTCTGCCGCTCGAACCAAAGCTTCGTTCTCTAGGTCTTCTCCGTAGGCGATCGTTTGGAGATTGGATCGAGATCATGTCGTACGACGACGTGGAGATCGAGGACATGGAGTGGAGCGAGGAGCTGCAGGCCTTCACCTACCCATGCCCCTGCGGCGACCTCTTCCAGATCACCAAGGAGGAACTCCGCCTCGGAGAGGAGATCGCCCGCTGCCCTAGCTGCTCCCTGTTCATTACTGTCGTCTACAACCCCGAGGACTTCGCCGCTGACCCCACCCCCGACCCCAACAGCAGGAAAAAGACCCCCGCCCAGCCCTCCCCTGTCGCCGTTGCTTGAGCTGGAACAGCAGGTTAGGGTTCCGATCATCTGATTTGTTTCCCCAGAATTCGCTACTCCTAAGATTTTTTTTAAAATTCTAAATGTTTGTTTTCACGAATTCAACAATAATTATGGCGAAAAATAAAAAAGATCCCATACAACTTGTCGATTTGGCCTCTTCAGAGTAGGGAAGACTGACTGGCTGATATGTTTGGCATGCCAATTTCTTGTTAAGCAGGAGGATCTTATGCTGCCATTAGTCATCATTGGCTGTTTTCCACAAGAAAAAGAAAAATAATAGAGTATGGATATACAAAAATCATTGCTTTTATCCTTAAATGCGCTTTTATGCGGCTTTTATTCTTACTCGCATGTAAGGATTGGTATCTTTCAACAGAACTATGGTGACTAGTAGCTCAACAAATCTACGATGGTTTTGGTAATATCAAGTGAAGCACTTTTGGCTTTATATGAAAAAAATTGACACATATACTGGGATACTCATGAAAGATAATTAGATACTGTTCTTGATCTGTAATTGGGTACGAAGATCTAGTAGGGCATGGACCAGATTCTATGGCAACTTAATACATACACTGTAGTTGTAATTTGATTATGTTAGAACATAACCAAACAAAATTTTGATTCCATCGTACTACTGTAATATTTATTGACTCAACTGAATCAAAATTTCTTATCTGAACATGGCAAACTACTCATGTTGTAGTATGTACCATGGCCCAAACTAGCATGGCCCAAACTAGCGAATCAACAGACCATATTTCCTATGTACCATAAACCATGCAAAGTGATGTCCATATGCTTGCACCCGCACCATGACCTAGAGTGCTTAATATTTTCATTATGGCTTTGCTTGAGCTCATTATTTTAAGCTAAATCGACTTGTTTGTCTGGCTTTTCTTTGTTTTGAGTATTTTTATACCTCAGTGAAGTACTGTTTGAAAAGCTTTCTACACTATTCAAACCTTAATGATTTAGTTTTTGTTAAAAAAAAGTATACAACACAAATGTATCAACCCTCTAGAATAACTGAAACAATGATGGTTGATCTTCTGAAATTACTTTAGAAAAAGTGTTGTACTTTGACACAAGCTATGACTTAAAAGAAACCTACAGGTATCTGACCAATGTTCGACATCTGAATAGTTCACTGGATTGATTCAGTTAAAAATTTGGAGTTTCTTATCTAGGTTATTTTTTCTTGCATCTTAAAGAAGACAAAATTTTCTTGTAGAGTTGAGAGCCTCAATAGAACATGACAGGAAGACAGCTAGTTGGCAAATGCTTCTTCCTTGCTGGGTCATTTAAACTAATGAATTGTTCTCGCAACATTACTGGAATCATGGATAATTCTTGTCTTGACATCGCGAATTTATCCCTTTGCCAATGGAATCATAAATATAAACCATATTGGTTATGCTTTTCAACTGCATAATTCACTGGTATCATTCTCATCTGCTTCCAAATTCTTTTATGCTAAATATGGGTGAATTATTTAATAAAACACTGGATTCAAGATGCGTGTTGGAGGTTTGAGCATAATCTGTAGTTGGATGTTAACTTGAATTTGATGTTTTTAAGTATTGCAAAAACACCATAGAATGCCAACTGACTACAAATCTTAGTGTGTTTTACCATCTGTATAAATCAAAGGAGTCTAGTTAGCAACCAAGGATAGTAATTTTAATTCTTGTGGACTTGGAAAGAGCCTCTAGGAAGCAACAATTTCAATCTGAAGCTTAGGCCAACAGAATGAAGTACATCTATGGTGTAAAGAATTATAAACTACTACATTGTAAAGAATTATTTGGCTGACAAGATTGCTGTGTATGGAAATATACTAAATCTTCTAATAGGCCTTTTATGTTATATTCTTTTTAGCTAGTCAAGATCCCAATGGAATATAACCCATGATCTAACCAATCTGTCTTTTGCAGGAATCACGAGATGTCACTGGCAATAGAACACAGACATGGAATTATGGATGCAACCTGACGGTATAAATTTAAAGTTGAGATGTCACTGGTAATAGAACACAGACATGGAATTATGGATACAACCTGACAGTATAAATTTAAAGTTTCCGAAGCTTAAGTCATCAGAGTCCAAAGATTTTCTCTCTGTCCTTTTTGTATTTGGTGTATTAGTTCTAAGTTGAGTTTCTATACAGAGGAAAAGAGTTTGAACATTAACTAAGGCCAATATATGAGAAATTTGTTAACACCGAAAACCATTGTGCTTTTCCTTGTAATTTCTTTTTAAACTTGTGCCACTCATGACAGGAAGATGACTTGATATCCATTTTTGGGCTTTGGCCTCTTTATTATTAGGTTGGCATTGTTGTTCCAATGTTGAACTTTTGTTTGTGATCTTTAAAACTGAGTTCTAGTAGCTGAGTTATTAACAACAGTATTAATGGATTGTAATCAGCATATCAGTTCAAATAGATCCAGAATCAGCCTGGGCCACCAAATAGTTTTTGATGAAAGCTTTACTATTTGGTTTGTTGATACATAACTCTGGTAACAGTGTTTGCTCATGTTTTTGAATGCATTAAAATGGTTTACATTTCACTACATTTCTCAAATGAGTGGCGGAGGCCAGGATTTAAACTATATTTACTGAATTACAATTGTAATGTGATAGTTAACCATCAAAGTGCAGTGTTGAAATTAGAAGATTGTCTTTTTCTAAGGAAGTGTATGATTGCTATTGCTCTTAAATTTTATTTTATTTTTTTTCCAAATGGTAAGTGGTGATGACGGGATTTGAGCTCAGGACCCTATGATGATTTGTCAAAGTTTTTATTAATTAAGTTAATCAGCATCTTCAAATTCCACTTTATTTAACAATCAATGAACAGATCTTGTAGGAAGCACGGTAAGAGAAAAGGATTTGGTGAGAAGCAGCAACAACAAAAGCTGTCGAATGCAAGTTTCAGCATGAGCATGAATTAGAAGGTCAACAGTGTTTACCTGTTCCTGTGATAATTCTGTTCAGAGTCTTAAGTCTTGTTTCATTTATATTTATAGGCATTAACTACAGGATTCAAAGTCCAACAGTGTATACCTGTTCCTGTGATAATTCTCTTGTTTCATTTCTATTTATAGACATTAATTAACTACTGGATTGAAAGGCCAACCATTTGACTGTGAATAGGTCTCTGATGTTTGTTGCTTGATGCATTTGTATTTTGATGACATTTGATATATCTGCATTAAAGTATCATCTTCTATTTAGAACAAAAGAAACTATTGTGGATGGCAAGATGTCAATGTGGCCAGCAAAAAATTATACATAGGTTAAACCTTATTTCTGGTTGCTGGTTAACAACAGGTGCCACCAGCTTTCTTTTTCTATTATTTTTTTAAAAGATAATATATAATATAGAGATTTTGGTAAGTGAGTTTGATATATCATCAACTATCAGATCAATATTTCAGGCATAAAAATATATTTAAAAAAATTTAAACCTTCAATCTTGATAAATGATTTAGTTAGCAAAAATTTTAATGCTTAAATTTTGTCTTTGTTATTTATCTTTAGAAAAATAAACTTTGCCTTTTGAGTGTTGTGAATCAAACTCTTGTCCCTTTCCAGCTGTAGATTTTTAATGTGTTTTCTCTGTGCTCAGTGATCATCTTCTTCTCTTGTACCTCTTGTTTTTCTGCATGTCTTCTCTCTCTGCCTCTTGTTCTTCCCATGACAATGTCCTGTCAACTTCTCCCACTCTTCACGACTCAGTTTAAACATGCCGACATGTTCAGCCGACATCGGTGGCCGTGAGACACATGGGAGATGCAAACGTAGTTGACCATTAATGCAACGATGTTGAGACTCAAATGGACATTAACGCCCCTTTCGAAGACTCGAATGATGTTGAGACTCATGGACATTAATGCAATGATCTTTTTTACACTTATAATATTTTCAATAAGTTTGTGGACTTGATGGTGTTGTGTGTCACATGAGATCTCATTTTTCTAGTTGTCAATTGAAAGTCATTGGTGCGGCCCGAATGTTCGAGGAATTATTTGCTTCGGACAACGTATTCACATGATTTTATTTTTTCGAAGCATATGAGCTTTAAAAAGCATCTTTAAAAATAAGGAAGATCTGACATGAACCATTGGTTTCATACTCCTTAATCAATATGGGACTAAATGACCTTATCAAAATTAAAACCCAATCTCCTCTTATAAACCACGTTGTTGAGACTCAAATAGACATTAATGTAATGATCTTTTTTACAATTATAATATTTTCAATAATACCTAAAAAACACTGTAATACAATACAAAGACATTGTAACATAGTATTTTGTATAAATTTTGTAAAAATATTATGTTTGAAAACATTATAGAACATTGTAACACCATATTTTTATTTTCAACAATGATAAGAAAATACTATTGTGCAGTATAAAAATATTATAACATAGTATTTTCCTACTATATTATAATGCTTTTCAGATATTATCAAAAATATTATAACATAATATAAAAATACAGTAACAAGATTAGTTCACCTTATAGATCGATTCATTAAAAAAATAAGAAAAAAAGAAAGATAATAGATGATTTATTTTTTTAGAAAATTAAAGAAAAAAAAGAGTTTATCGGAAGACTAAAATTTTGAAAGGGTAAATATGTTATTTCCAAACTTTAAAGAACGGCAAATAAGTAAAATTTCTCTCTACCTTCCTATTTCCATGTCTCTTAGGATGAGCTCAAAAGCACTTCTTCCCATGAGAACCTTCTGAGAAGTAGGAAACGTGCCGCGAGCAATCAAATGAGATACACGCCCCTGAATGCGACATAGAGATTAGATTATATGATCTAATCTAATTAGATAAGATATATTATAGATATGATTAGATTCTAATTATAATGAATAAAAATATAAATTTATAATTATTTATTTTAAATTTTTTATTAATAGATTTATATAAATGATAGGAAGAGAGAAGAAGACAAATCTAATTCTTGGATTCGGTAGATCAAATAAAGATTTAAAAAGATATTTATCATAAATTTAGATCCATTATTATCTGATTTTAAAATTTAAAATTTATTTATTTTTTCATAAAATAACAAAAAATTATGAATTTTATGTTTATAGACGGTTACAGCCACCGCAAATTATCACCAGAAATGTCATTTCATTACCTGTCGTTTTAAGGAAAAGGATCCAAAGACGATGACTTGTCTTGGGACCTCTCCTTTTAATGGCGGGCGGTAAGAGAAGAAGCCTCATCACATAAACTTGATCTGCTCTGTCTCTCTTTCTTACACGCACGCACACAAACACGCACTCTTATGGCTTGCCCCGTCCATGGAATCCCGAGGACTGCAATGTGGAGCGGTCGCGCCACAGCGGCACACCGCCGCCGCCTCCCCCTCGCCGTCAGATCCGCCTCCACTCGGCCGCAAGCTGAGCCGGAGGAGACGACCGGCGCGGCGGCCGCGCAGTTCGACCTCAAGTCGTACATGGCCGACAAGACCCTGCGTGTGGACGCCGCCCTGGACCGCGCTGTTCCCCTCTGCCACCCTGCGCGGCTGTACGACTCCATGCGCTACTCCCTCCTCGCCCCTGGCAAGCGCGTCCGCCCCGTGATCGCCCTTGCCTCCTGCGAGCTGGTGGGCGGCCCCGAGGGCGCCGCCATGCCCGTCGCCTGCGCTTCTGAGATGATGCACGTCATGTCCCTCATCCACGACGACCTCCCCTGCATCGACAACGACGACCTCCGCCGGGGTCGGCCCTCCAACCACCGCGCCTTCGGCGAGGGCACCGCCCTGCTCGCGGGTGACGCCCTCGTCTCCCTGGCTTTCGAGCACGTCGCCACCCGCACCACCGGCGTGCCGGCCGAGCTGGTGCTCAGCGCCGTCTCGGAGCTCGCTTCCGCCATGGGGCCGAAGGGGCTGGTGGCGGGCCAGATCATGGACATCGAGAGCGAGGGACAGGCCGTGGGCCTCGACGTGCTCGAGTTCATCCACCTGCACAAGACGGGGAGGCTGCTGGAGGCGGCGGCGGCGTGCGGGGCGATCGTGGGCGGCGGCAGCGACGCCGAGGTGGACCGCGTCCGCCGGTACGCACGCTGCGTGGGCCTGCTGTTCCAGGTGGTGGACGACATCCTGGACGTGACGAAGACGTCGGAGGAGCTGGGGAAGACGGCCGGGAAGGACGTGGCGAGCGGCAAGACGACGTACCCCAAGCTCATCGGCCTGGAGAAGGCGCAGCAGCTGGCTCGGACGCTGGTACGGAACGCGGAAGCAGAATTACATGGGTTCGATTGCGTCCGGGCGTTGCCGCTGCGACGTCTCGCTCACTACGTCGCCGACCGCCACAACTGAAGCCAATGCCTTCCCCCATCACTTCGTCGTTCTCGCTCTGTGTTTTCCTCCTGTTGAGTGATCACAAAAGAACAAAGGAATCTTTGGGGCGTCATAAACAACGACTGAAGACACCGCAAGTGCTCGCAATTTTGTCGAACACTTGCAGTGCTCAACAGGCAGCCAACTGTTCGTTCATGCTGCCTTTTCTTTGTTCCAAATTGCTGCGTGTATGAGAAAAAGAAGAAGAAATTAAACATTTAAGCTGTAGACTGTGATGTGCTTCCTGTGGTGGAATAGAGCAGCACAAGTAAGATCACAAAATCCATGCCATGAATCTATCTACCTAATATCATTAAATAAAATAATAAACTTAATAAAAGAAACCATAATTATACTGGTATCTAAATAGATGACTAATTGGATATGATGTCCTACACAACAATAATAATGTACTCCTTGATGATATGACATGACATGCAAAGTGGGTTTAACCTATGCAAAGCCTCGACTGTCTGATAGAGAAAGCAATTTATATATTTCAGTCATTCTGACATGCAACAATGGGGGTAAACTTAAGTACAAACAAATACCTCACTTAGTCACAGAAGAAGAGTGCACACAATGTGATCCAACACATCTAAATCTTGCTTGATATCCCAGAAAACAGGTTTCAAGATCATGAGAGGGAAAGACAATATTTGAATTTCAATTATTCACTTTGGAAAAGAAGAAAAAGATATGGGTATATGTATATATATGAGGTGGCTTCCAAGACACATCTGCACAATAGGTTTGACAGATCACATATCATTTTAAGACACTCAAGAAAACAATAATAACAAAGAAAAGACATGTCTTTGAACCATAATTATTAATCATCACATCCAGATAGGAAGTTGCTAATATTACGAAGCTCTTCAAGAGCAGCCATTGCTGCAACTTGCCCGTCTCCGCTAATTGTGGTCGACTTGCTGTCCTTGGAGCCATCAAGGCCTTGATCTTGCTTGAAGATTGACTCGATGACCTGACAACGAAAAGAAATGATCTTAAATGGTTAGCATAACAGGAACAATATGCGAAGTTGATGTGTACAGAATCAGATAGCACAAATCTGAAGCCTAGACTAGCTTGTGATCTCATCTATTAAAACTTTCATTTTGTAACATAACTTGTTGGGCAAGTGATGGAGCAGAATTTGGTGCTTATGAGGGTTTTTTCTGTTTGCATGTTTCATGTTCCAATGCTGAAAATAAAGTTGGACACCGTAGAAGATTTATGGTTTCTATGTTTTCTTGACAATCAAGATGGATCATGAAGGGAAAAAGTTATTGCAGTTTTATCAATGTAGGCCTACTCAGAAGAGTAAAACCACAAAACTTCCTTCTTTACCTATTATAATTATATCAGATATTTGACACAGAGGACACTATCTTCTTGTTGCAATGCATAATATGCTAATAATTTTATATTCACTGTACAGTAGTGCTGAAATTGATGCATACAACTAAACAGTGTAAACTATATATATGGAGACTGCAAACTTAGAGCAGGCAAGATAATATTTAATTCATAAAGTGGCAAATTAGTCATAAAAAAATTTCACGTAACATGATATGCATAATTAGAAATCCAGTTGAAATTAATAAATCCATGATATATATCCAGAAGTTTTGAGTAGAATTTGAAATGATGAGATGATCATGTCAGTGCTATGATGGATTTTTTTATTTCTTGTTGCAAACATACTAAGAGAGTATTTGTAGGCACAAGAAACAAAGAATAGGAGCTGAAACAAACTGTGAACTCTTACCTGAATGTTTTCAAGCATGGCCTTTGCAATACCTCTTAAATTCCCAGCAACATTTTTGTCTTCATCTTCTATCTCCCTACGAGCTTCAAAGGAACTGTGACATGGATCTCCTGAAGTCCCAATAACATTTTTGTCTTCATCTTCTATATTCCTGGAAACTTCAAAAGAATTGTGGCATGGATCAGAAGCTGGAGCACTAGAAATATTTCCACAGTTATCTGCAACAATGTGGGATTTTTGTGGTTCAACAGCTATTCTGTTCCCCATGTTCCCTTCAGCATAGCCTCTATTAAACCTCCGAAGCCACTGAAATCTGCCAGAAAGTGGTTTCCACTTTTTGAGACCTGCTGCTTGTTTTTCTACACTATAAGGTCCTTGTCCACTCCTGCTGCTACTAATAGAATTCTCTTCCTTGTCAATGCTGGTATTACATGGCTTCTCCGCAGAATTGGTCTCATCACAGGTTCTGCCGATCAGTGAACTTGAAGTGATACTGCTATCCTCTGAGTCATACTCATGGTCATTAACCATTCTATGGGGACTGGTGGCTGTGGACAAGGAGTTATCTGCATTGAAGCGTGATTCTTCCGCGACATCCAATCCCTTAACTATGACATCTTGATCAATATGTTCCTCAACATAATCTGTTTCTGCTTCTATCTCCAAGCACAGAGATTCTTCAGTAGCTGAGATGCGTGGAACTTTATCGGATCTATAGATACCATGGTTTCTATCAACACCGGTACTTGTATCAGAAGGCCCAACATTTTTATTCTCACTCTGAAAATCTGTGGGGCAAGGATCATAAGCTGTCCTAGGTAAATTGAATCTTTCTATTAGTGGCCCGTCAGCCATATCGCTTGAAACTGTATCGCCACAATTTTCCTTGTCAAGTTCCTCTGCTGCATGCATCAACCTCCATTTCTCTTCCCAGTAGCTATCTGATAATAGGTTTGGAGTAACAGGACTAGAACCATATGAAAGACTCTGACCTCTTCTACCTCCACATTGATGCCCTGGGATTCCTCCTTGGGATGAACAAGAGAAAACTGTATCAAGTGCAAGAGATTGCAATGACTTTGCCTTCTCAATTAACTTCTTCACACTAATATCTTCAGGTAAATTTAACAACCGTTGGAGACAAGCAGTCGCATACTCAGTGGCTAGTATTGAAGATCTTAGCTGAAGTAGCATGGAAACTGCCATTGCCAAGATGAAGGCTCCCCTCGGTGAGCACAATATCCGGCATCCAAGTTCTGACTCATTTGCTTTATCAGGAAAAGATATAAGGTTAGGAAAAGAGAATATTTCATCCCAAACAACCAAAAGATCCTCAAGAGAAAATTCACGTCCAAATAAAAGACGCAGCCATCGTAATGCGAAGTATTGGGGCTCTACCCCAAGCTCAACAAGATGGCTATGAAGAGATGAGTCAGTGATGGAGAGCAATTGATACATTGCAGAAGATGCTTCTATTATAGGTGGTAATCCAGTACTGGACCCTATGGAAGGAGATGGAGAGAAGAGCTCTGCCATGACAACCACACTATTTGCATCATTCATTAAATAATCAAACATGCAGTAGGCATCATGTTCCATGAATTTTTCAGATAAAACAACACCTAATTCGCCCTCTACTCCATAAGCATCACTCATCAAGAATATGTCCTTTGTTTCAGGATCAAGCTCATCTAGACTTCTTACTTTGGCACTCTTCTCCTGGACACTACCATCTTTTTCAGTTGCTGCTGTATTCATATTCATGATCTTTTCAAATCTGTAGGCAGAACTTAATTCGATTTCAGGGAGGGATACCCCATGAAATTCATCACTGAAGTAGTCTTCATATTCGTCCCGTACTTGGGAAAGGTACTGCAGATCAATATGAAGTACATACAAAAGTGGAGCCAGTAGTTCATGCATTCCTGTAGGTACAGATACATATTTATTGTCACTTCAAGTAGAAACACAATCATAGTGGTCAAAATGCTATACAAAATAAATGGCATGTCTGAAATCTGTTGGATAAGACACAGTCATGGTTGTTCAATCGGACAGAGTAGCAGTTTGTAACTTACAAGCTTCTAAAAACTAATATAGCCTTACTTTCTAAGCACCTGTTCCCTATTGCATAACGTTTGGGCTATAACCAAACAGCACAAGGACCAGAGTTATAGAGTTGTATGCTTCTCATAATAACATAACGTAACATAACCGACATTCTGATTAGATGACAATAAAATTTTTTTTGAAACATTCAATCTGAGCACTGGAGGAGAAAAATAGAACTTTGTGATTCATTTTTGCAGTTATATGTGACACAAGTGATCCATGAAGATACGAATTCACACTTGCCTTAGTGACTATCATCATTTTTGCATTTATTAAACATTGGAATACCTAGAGAACTAGTCTTGAAATCAAGCTGGTTGAAGGTAGCAAATTCTGATCTTTTATTTGTAAGGGAAAACTTAACCTTGAAAACTAACACAAAATTACTTGTGGAACTGTAGCCACACAAGTACTGACAGCGATAAAACAATGGTATCTCCAGCAAGCATAACAAAAACATAGTTGGAAGCCTGGACTCACTTAATATGTGTACTAAAGAAACAAAAAATTGGAATGGCATTAATATGTTATATTAAGTGGCTTTTGAGAAGGCGTGCTGGTTTCAATTGCAAAAGAAAATACTGATGCAACAGCCAAACTACCTAGAAATGGGAAGCAAATTTCTACATATAAAAATGAATAGCCACCTTGTCTATATCCACACTCTGGATGAATAAGACACCACAATAGGAGTATTTGTCTCAACATGGCCTGACATGTAGCTGTCTGGAAGTAGCCTTCCTGGTCAGGATACAACCGTGACAAATCTTGATCAAGCATCTTCTCCAGTTCAGCATTTCGAAAATAGAGGCTCCACAAGCTATCTGTGAAGAGAATGCACTACAAGATTAGGACTATAGCCCCCCCAGGAATAAGTAAGGCTGAGCAGGTACATCTTTTATGAACTCATCCAATCCAAAGAAAACATAAAAATCAACTTCTGAGAGTGGGTTAGTGTGCATTTTATATAGAGGAATCTGGCTACGTCAATTTGCAGAACACAAATGTGATAACCACATCCTACATTCACAACGCATGAATATAAACATTAGAAAAGCTGCATTACACAAAGAGGAAGACTTTTGGATAATGATTTGTTGTACGCATAAGCATAGTTTGGTCAAGATAGGATCTTTTGATAACGATCATGCTTTGAACTTTTTAAGGAGTGCACAATATACACATAATAATCAAGAAAAGAGGTAGAGCCAGTTTACCACTTCACCTGGACTTTGTGATAATGGATTGTCCACAATAAGATCAGGTGATTTGCTTTCATCCTTGGAGAGATGAGGATCTACTATAAGCCGGCGCCTTAAATGGGCATACCTATCAACAAAAAGTTACAAATAATAAATAAAGACAAATTTCTAATAACAATAAATAACGGCTTAAATTCGAACCCATTTAGAAGAGAAATAATGGATTCGCACACAGAAGATGTCATCTTGAAGCTGATGATACTATAGATTTGCATTTGATCAATTGGAGATTCGCCATTGCCAGTCTAAATCAAGAAAACATCAAAAATGAGAATTCTTTTAGGTGATAGCCGACCGGTTACCAATTGGGGAACCCATTTATGGAATTCAATGAAACATCGTCTTCTCATTTGAGGTATAATTGAGAGAAACAACGGAGAAAAGCTCAACAAGGCATAATTCTACCTTCTCCTAGAATCTGCGGCGACCCGCCGGATATCATCGATCGAAGCAGGAGACTTGGGCAGGATGCCGAGATCGATGCGCCATCGGACACCTCGAAGGCTCGTGAATCTGGACCCCGAGATGGATTCCCGAATCGGAGACGCATGATCGGATGCAGGGACAGGCGGCATCACCCTGCTCCCGGTCAGCGTGGAACTCCGATCGCTTTCCGACTGCTTCGAAGAAGAAATCTGGAGAAAAGGTGAAAGAATAAGAGCACGAGGAAGGGAAAGTTGGGATCTTTATCGGAATTTGGGGAGGGGAAGGCAACGAAGAATTCGCAACGAATGTGCTGCTAACCTTTTCTTTCTCTCTCTCTCTCTCTCTCCCTCTCTTTTGTCCTATCTTATTTGATGTCCTGCGTGGAAGGGGACGAGGGAGAAGCTGCAAGAATGGCAGTTGTATAATTTTTATTTTTATTTTTTTGCTTCTTATTTTTGGCAAGGTTGCAAATACTAAGTCAGTGGTTTCATATTTTTAAACTTAAGTTATATATATATATATATATATATATATATATATATATATATATA